TTGCGGCATGACCATCCCCCCTGGGGGGTGATTTCTCGCTTTCTGTCTCTATGTCTCTCTCTGTCTGTCTGACGAGCGCACGCGCCCTATAGCGAAAACCTCTCCAAAAAAAAAAAAAGAAATCACCTCCTCTGGGATGGCCATACTGCAGTTCATTTTCTCTGGATTTTGGGCACACACGTGCATGCCCAGCATGTTTACAACTGCTGAGTCTAAGACTCAAACTGTGGTCAGCAATCTGGGAGTCCAGCGATATAACCACTACTTCATCTGCTGGTCCCTTCTAATTTTAATATAAGTGTCCTCTTGAGAGTGAGTAGTGACTATGAGAGTGGACAGTGCTCCTCTCTAGATTCTACTTTTTTGGTCCATTCCTGACTTTTGGAAGGCTGATTTGCTGTATCGTCTCTGGACTACTTGTAGAAGTAGGTTGGGCCTTATGTTCTGATGTAATTCTTGGAAAGCTGTTGTCTTACACTAGAACACATTAAAAGTTTTTGTGTTCTCTTAGGTAGTGAAGAATCTATTACATTTATTACTATTATTCCCTTGGATACTACATTTAAATTGGCAAGTTCTTCTGTAGCGCTGTAATCCAACAAATTTTAGTGACATGAATAGTATATCACTAAAGTATAGGTGGGACCAGCAGGCAGCATAATGGCTATGTCACTGGACTCCCATGTGGTCAACCACAATTCTTGCCCCAGACCTGGTGGCTTAAACTCACGCTGGGCGCGTGTATGTGCCCAAGATCCCTGGAGGAGAAGGGATTGTAGCGTGGCCATCCCCCCTGAGGGGTGATTTCTCACTTTTTGTCTGTCTCTCTTTCTGGCTAGTGCACGTGCCCTATATCAAAAACCTCCAAATAATAATAATAGCATTTGCTATGTTCTTAGTTATTAGTTTCATTGGTTTTTTTGTTTTATTTTCTTTTCAAACTGTGTAGAGGATGGTCATTTAGCACATGCCATGAACTTAATTATTTAACTTTTTTTTAAAGAATTATTTTATTTAACTTTATTTATTTTAATTTGACCAGAGAGAGAGAAAGAAAGCAAGCCTCCAGGTCTGGGACTCAGACTGCAGTCAGCCATGTGAGAGTCCAGCGTCCGTAACCACCATACCATCTGCTGGACCTGCTGTTGGCCATGTAGCTTCCAGCACTGCAGATCAGTACAGTACCCCACCGGCATCACCATAGGTGGGCCTATGGTTTCATTTGACCATAGATTTTGCTTTTCTTCCTTCCCCTCCACTTTCTGAGTTAGTTCTGCCTTAGTATTTCAATTATCAGACATACTAGCTTAATTTCTAATTTTTCATTCTTGTATTTAGCTGTTCTTATTCTCCGTTCTGGAAGGGTTCTTCAACTCTATCTTACAGTCCTCTGTTAAATTTTTTATTTGGGGAGACTGGCAAGTGCTGTGGTGGTTAAGGCACTGGACTCTCACATGGCTGCCTGCTGTTCAAATCATGACCCTGCCCCCTTAAAAATCATACTGGACATGTGTATATGCATGCCCAAAATCCCAGGAAGAAATTGGAGGAAAAGGGATTGCAGTGTGGCTATTCCTCCCCCCACCCCGGTGAGTGAGCAAGAGGTGATTTCTCACTTTCCCTCTCTGTCTCTCTCTCCAGTGAGCACATGCACTTTATGGCAAAAAAAAAACTCTTAAAAAAAAAAAAAAACCCCC